TCATTTTGGTCATACAGATAAGAGTAATACATCTCTCAAATCTGCAAAGACTCTACGTTTATTTGTGTGCACTCACAATAACAAAATGTGCTTTTGTAAAATAATTAAATCAAACATGATGCACTTTCTGCCGTCTCAGTCTCTGTGAACTCGAGCGCGAAACTCTGTGTATGTCTTTACAGACATTACAGACATTAAAAATATATCTATAGAGAGTGAATTGTCTACTTTCAAATGAACCAATTCAAATGGAAAACAAATATTCTCAGATTATGTAATCCGTATGAAACATGCATACATGTGCGTCCACTACTGTGGAGATGACGAGTCATCTCTTAAACCGAAAACAAAGAAAGCACTCGTTTATCAAATTATTAAAATGTTAATGCAGTCTCCTTACTGTTTTTCCCTGACACATTCATAATCATTACTTCTGCCAGTGCGCTGTGGCAAGCTTTATGCGTATGCTTGAGCGCTTATTAGGCTATGTAGGCAATTGAAGGCTCATTATAATGATTTAAATGGTTTATTAATAAACGTGCGATTAGTCGGCTAATGCTTAAAGTGAATGACTACTAGTCGACCAGAAAAATCCTTAGTTGAGGGCAGCCCTATAAATCTCTTATACTTGCATGTACATTGCATGTACATCTGCACGTTGTTGTTAATGATGAGAGAATTCGCGACAGAGCAGAATTCAGTCAGCACGCGTGCACTGAACAATAAAACTGTGGTGTTTCAGCGATGACTAATCTGAACACCTCTGACTGGCCATTTCATTCATAAACTCAATAGAATAGTGTGTGATTGGTTATAACGTGCACCACTGTAAAAACGCGTAAAAAGAAATATGATGGAACAAATAAGCCCTAATATTAATTTGATAATAATACTAGCCTAATAATAATAATAAACATAATTATCTTTAAATCGTCAAAGGCATCAGCCATAGGCAGTATCGTCAATATACATGAAATATATATATATTAATATAAATATTTATTTATTTATTTATTTATATATATATATATATATATATTTATATATTTAATACAACAGTTCCCATAGTTGTGACATACAGTAGTTTAGAGCTAATCTCAATAAAACTTGACCTGTGTAAAAAGAAAAAGTGTTGTGATTTTGATACTTATTTTCAGTTTGATGTGTCGCCACATGCAGGAAAAAATAGAGAGCATGCTAGTTGCAACAGATGATTTCTTTAGTAGATGGTTTGTATGTATTTTGATTTGAATCGCCACTTTACGTCAGTGATGGCCACACTACCTTTTGCACAGTTAAATCAATTAAAATACAGTTTAAATTATATAATGTTGCAGTTGCAGCCTAGTGAGTCATTTTACTCACATTTGATGCTTATAACCAGCACTGACTGAATCTACAGACTTTTTCTGATTTTCTGCTTTCTGTTTTTCCGATTTTAAATGGAACTAATGGTACTAGACACTTATTGGTAGCTACAAGAGTAATTAATAGGCCAAACTATTTATTAAACAAACACCTAAGTAGCATGTGCATAACTTTTGTAAATGATAGATGTTCCCATTCAGTGTGCGCAGATTTCGTGTGTGCCTGTTTATAACCTTGACATGGTATTAATTATCATTTAGAAATGTTTATTAAAGAATCGTTAGAGAAAATCATTGATGACTGCAAACTCAAACTTGTTAGTCCGCCTCTCTTTCTCTCTCCACCGTTGTGCTCATAGCTGCTGTAATAGCCAGAGGCCTTTGTGGGTTGGAGCAGCTCTCTATGGGTCTGAAAGGCCTCTAATCCCCGTGGCCTGTGAAGTGTGAAACCTTTTGATGGCAGGTCGGGTGCTGGAGGCTTTTGCCTGTTGACAAACAAGAGCAGGCCACAGAGAGAAAGACAGCAACAGCGGCTTTATCCGTTGTACGAAAGGATTCAACAGAGCAGTTTAGGAATGGAAAATATGGACCTGTCACCCAAACACACATGGCAGCAACAGCATTAGCTGAGCTTTAATGATAATTAGTACGTTTTGGTGAAGCGAGATGGAGTGAAGGGAGGAGAAAGATAGAAGGCTAAGGGAGAGTGACATGGCAAAGCATGGCTCCTTAATTAAACCATGTGATGATCAAAGATAGTCACCCAATCCAACCCCCCTCCTTAAGTAAAGGAGATCAGAAAATTGGCACGTCTATTTGCATACGGACCAGTGATGCCTCTTTGAAATCCACTGTTTTTTTCCCTCTATGGATCCAATGAATTGAGGAAACTGTCAGTTTAGTTGTATCACACACACACACACACACACACACACACACACACTGGGGCGCACGCACACACCCTCCCCACCCACTCTTCTGTGCTGGCTGTCGGGGAAACATCAAAGCGCCGTGGCGCTGCTGTCACCGAGGGGGTTGAAAGTGTCGGCCCCTGCGCTGGCCCTGCATGGGCTGGACAGATGCTCGACAGCCCCCATTTCATCTGACCCATTTAGAACACCTCCAATTAGACTGTGACAGCGCGGAGATGAGCATCCTTTCATCCGCTGCCCAAGAAGATGCCAGCTAACATATGCGCTTTAAACACTCTGCAGACCTCTGTAGCCTCAGGAATGCTTTAAAAAGATTTATTAGACATAAAAGAGCTAGTCTGAGACAGTGAATGTTTGGGGTTTGTTTAGATTTCTGCACAAATGTGGCCTAGAACATGACCTGACTTTTATTCTCAAATAAACAGCTCGAAAATGATAATACATGCAACAACAAAAAAATCTGTATCCATAAAAAGGTGGTCATAAATTAAATAAAACAAATGCCAATCAGTTCAGACAGTGACACTCAAATAAAAGCAACAAGAAATATTTTATGCTGTATTGTGAACACATTTATAGAGGGTCTTGTCTGATCTAAAACTCAAAAGAAGTGGGGTCACACCGCATAACAGTGATCCCAAACAGAGGTTTATATCAACAACAACAGCAGCAGCACAATGGGATGCAATTTTGTATTTTTTGGTCTTCTCTGGAGTTCTGGTTCCAATTCCATTTGAAACGCTGTGGTCTGAGGCAGGCCACTCAAGCAAGACATCCTATAAATATACATGAAATGAAACTGTTTTGGATAGAGGAATGGGTCAGATATGTGCTATCCACTGTAAAAGTTGTGCAGCAGCTAAAGAAAGTGTTTATTTGACATTCTGTTTCCCATGTCTTTTAAGATTCTTTTTCCTTTAGCTTAATTGTTCAAGCTAATCACTATATTGTTTATCTTACAAAAAAATAAAAATAATTTATTACATAAACAGTATTTTATAGCGCCTCATCTTAATGAAACAGTTTATAATATTTTATACATTATATTATTTGATTCTAATGATTTTGAAACTATTTTGAAAACAAAATGTAATCATTTCTCAGCTGCTTCTGCAGATTTGACAGTGTATGTTGTGACTTTTTTTCAAAAACATTAATTGCTAAACGTTTGTTTTCTTGGCTGCAACCACATCAGGTTTTTTTTTTTAACCATGCGCTATTAGATTTGAAGGGCTTAGAGCAATGGATGATGTGGATTTAGCTGCTTGAGTGATTGACCTGTGTCAGCTTAATGGAAGCTAGAGAGGAAAAGGATGTGTGACAATCAGAAATGTGACAACTTCCTCACAGCTGGATCCCGGAGTTCTGGAAAACCAATCTGACATTTGCTGACACTGTCATTTGTGGCAGTTTAATTTTAGTCAGAATGATAAAAACAAGCAGAAAATATGCACACTTTCCTTAAAATATAATTTTTGAGCGAGTTGGTAGTCATTTGTGGCAGTTGATTTATCACTTGTAAATTGAGTGCTTTGCCCGCTCCCCCTCTGCCTTTTTGTAGCACTGAACTAAGTAGCCATGAAATTGCCTGAGTAATGTCGTTTAAATCCAATCTCACCACGGCCCTTCACCTCCGCTCATCCTCTGTGCTGCCTCTCGCAGCTCTTTCTCCTTGTTTCCCCAAGTCGTTTTTCTCAGAATCCCAAAAGCCCCGGGTTTCTCTGAACAGGCCTGATTCGAAACCCCGATCAAGCCAAAACAGAGTCCAACTACAAGGACACTTTGTCTTGCTGTCAGAGACATTAAGGCTTATTGGGTTTTTTTATAATTTCCTGCCCTGCCCAACATGTGGGTCTTTGCGTTTTAATAGGAGCGAATCCGTTTCGCAGCGCAGTTTTTAATGGATGTCTCAATCATGTTTTATGACAAAGCTCTTGCAGTACATTTTGTCTCACAGTTTCTCTGTACAGGCTGAAAAAAACCCGGTTACGGATTCCCAGTGGGTGGAGTTTTCAGGGGTTCATGGGAGGGGTAATGTAGGTCTGTCTCTTCATTTGGAGATGGTCTGATTGAATAATTGAGAAATTGGCCTGGCCAAGGCTAAGACCTACTGGTGCTACTTATAAATCTCAAATGTGTCAGTGCAATTAAACAAGTCTTTTATCCTCCTTACTTCCTGCTCGCTCTCCTTTCCGTCTCCAAGGGTAACCCAATTTTGAACAATAGAGAGGCCAAATTAATTTCACAAAGCGCTGGTTTAATAATGCCTTAGGTGCCTGATTTTGAGTTTAAAAAGAGCTATTTATCCAGGGATGAACCTCCACTGGAATATTGAGTGAGAGAGAGGGGACTGAGTGAGGAATAAAATAGAGTTTCTATAGACAGGGTGAATTTAAAACTTTCAATATTCACATTATTTGTGAATTACGCGTCTATGGTTTGTACCATTCAATTTTTGTTCTTGGCAGACATTTTCGTAGTCATTCAGACTGACTCATTGAGGCTTAGCACACTTGTCTCTATTAAAATGGATGGGGATGTGCACACAAGTACGGTATGTAGAATAGTGTCTATTTAGAAGAATGTGCTGGCTGCTGATGAATTAGATGGTGACCGGTAGCTTTCAAGCTCCAAATGACAAATAGGTTGTGGGCCGTAACTCTGACTCGTGGTTTTCTTAAATTTTTTTTTTGTCTTGCAGGTGAGCTGACTGTTCCCATGCCTTCCCCGCGCTACCCCAGCGCAGCAGAGCTGGATGCCTACGCGCAGAAGACGGCCAACAGCCCTCTGTCCATCAAGATCTTCCCCACCAACATCAGGGTCCCCCAACACAAGCACCTTAACCGGACTGTGAACGGATACGACACCACCGGACAGCGCTACAGCCCCTACCCACACCTCCACACAGGGGGCTACCAGGGTCTGTTAGCGATCGTCAAGGTCTCATTGTCGTCATCCTCATCTTCCTCGTCATCTTTCGCACCCTCCACAAAGGGCGTCCTCAAAAACTCAGAGGGCAGGAGGACTAAGTTGTCTCCTGCGCAGATAGCAGTGGCTCCTTATCCGCCTCCCAACAGCAGCACTTTAGGTCATTGCCACGGACAGATTGTGTACCACACAGGGCCTCCCAAACCGCCAGAGGCCACCGCTCTGGCGGTCCCCCCTAATGTCACTGTGGCCGGCTCCGTGATCCCTGTTGCGGGGGGCCGAGGATTGAACCTCCCTCCTCAGTCGAATCTTCCCTCCATCCAGAGCATCATTTACCAGATCAACCAGCACTGCCAGGCCCAGGCTCTACAGCAGGTGTGTCAGAACGGGGCGTCGACGGGACCTCCGAACCCCAGCCCATCCAAACCGGGCACCGCTAACTCCTCAGGGGGGACTTACGTCACTAGTGTGGCTCCGCAGGGAAACATGGCCTATTCAGGGACGGTGCTGCCAGGGCACAACGGGGAGGTGATGAAGGCCGGGGTGTATCCCGAAGGTATGGACTACCTCCTGTGGCAAAAACAGCAGCAGCAGCAGCAGGCGGTTTTGAGGATGTACAGCGAAGGGAGCGGAGGCGGAGGCGCCATAAGCAAGTCGCCCGAAACCTGCGCCCCAGGAGGGTCCATCATGTTCGGAGGGGCGCAGGTGTCCTCCTCCAGAGGTTACCCGATGACGGCCAGTACGAGCGGCGGGGGTGGGCTGGACAAGGTCAGCTCCTCCCCTTTGAACTGTGTGGGGATGCATGGGAACTTTTCTGTCGGTCAGTACTTTGCACCGCCGTGGAACAGCGTTCTGGTGACGCCGGAAAGCGACTGCTACAACCCACAGGAGCTTCCAGGAGCTACGACCACAGCTGGACCGGTGACGGGACACAGGGAGCTGGGATTCCCCCACCCTCACCAGCACCCTCATTATCATCACCACCACCATCATCATCATCATCACCACCCGCCCATCGACAGCACGGGTGGTCTGTGCTGCAGTTTGCCCAGTAAGAGTCTATGTAATACGTCAGTGTTGAGCAGCAGTCTGCAGTCACTGGAATACCTGATCAATGACATCCATCCTCCCTGCATCAAGGAGCAGATGTTGGGGAAGGGATACGAGACCGTGTCTGTGCCGAGACTATTGGACCACCAGCATGCACACATCCGCCTCCCTGTTTACAGATAAGAAGAGACGGGGCTGACCGATATAAAGAGCGACTGCAAAATCTTTAATCACAAACTGCAGTTGTTGCCATTGCATAGATTTGCAGTGGAGTTTGGTGATCCTGCTCAAAGCAGACTGGGGGAGATCTGGATCAGAATACGGTTGGGTGAATGCTGGAAAGCCAATCGGTGCCTCTCGGCTCAGAGCTGGGAGAGAATTGCTGGCTGGGAATTTGAATGTTCCTAAATGTGGATTCTGTGATTCTTTTCTCTCTTTTTGCCAAGAGGGATTTTGTTTATTGTTTTCCAATTGTTTCTCTATTTTTCCTTTCGAATTATTTTATCAGACTAATATTTTTATTTTTGGTGAGAGTCAATAGTTTAAATGAAGTAAAAATGGCCTCCTCTCCTCCCCAAGTAACCATTTGGATTAACGCGATGAAGATGATGGTCTTAAAGCACCACGCTTGTCTGTAAAAGATACAAGATACGGTTGAACCTGTGCTCACAGAACACTGTAAGAGGTAACGGTATGCACGCATTACAACATTTCAAAGACCAAAAAGGCAACTAGATCAGTGCTTTAGTTTTAGGTGACGCTAATAGATAAAATGGAAAAACCTTGTTTTTTCAAAGAAACTGCACTGCTTGGGGTGTAAAAATGTGTGAAAGTCTTGGGAGGTCGGAAATTAGACGTTCGAATATAATGTATTTAAAGAACTTGAAGACTTGAACCTATTTTTGTTGTTTTATATATATATTTGTAGTATATAATATGCATTGGCTGCTAAGGGAGTAAGAGTGTAAAATGCTTAGGTTTTTTAATGTTTCGTTAAGGGTCTTTAATTTTGATTTTATTCTCCTTTGGCTGCAGTATAAGTTTCTGCTGTTCTCACGGTGTAACCACCACCAGAACGCTCATTTATTTACCTACACTGGAATCAAATCTCCACATAAGCAGATGTAAAAGTAACCGGTTGTTGGAAAGCTCTGAAATGAGACCGCCCTCATTAACAAGATTAGGCCGATCAGGTCTGTTTCAGTCATAGAAACACATTCTGACATGCCGAAATGAATCTGATTTGGAATTCTGAAAATGAGCCGTCTGTTGTTGGAAATCTTGTTCTCGATTGGTTAGGGATCAAACGACTCTTCCCTCTCGGTGACTCCATTAAATGAGGACCTGAGGGGAGGTAAACTGTCAGAGGTGTCGCTTGACCATTCCTCTTTTTGAAACGATAAAAACAATCATTGCCTCTCTCAAACAGAGGTGGAAGGAGAGGGGCCGAGCGTTTTTCTCAGCTCTGTGCTAGCGGTTTCGAGCCGGGTTGAGGCCGCTCGTAAGCTCTGTCTCAACACTGAAATATTTATTCCGACTGTGACTTTCCTGTGAATGTACTGCACTTAGATTACTGAGAAGACTAATGCCTTGTGGGACACAGAGGGGGGAAATAAAGAAAAATTGGTTGGGCACAGCGGTCCCTGGCATTAAATTAGCATTTCTTTTGTCAGTCAAATTTCACCGGTAAATTGAATTTAGAAACTCGAGAGTGAGTCGATGGGGGGTTTCTGGCGGAGGCAAAAAGCTGGCTACAGTCTAGATTTATGAAGTGCAATTATTATGACTGTATTAACAATTTTGTTTTCTCTGAGCTTACACCAAAAAAAAAAATTTGTAAAAGTACAGCTGTGTCTACATTCCCAATGTACCACATACTCATTCCCGTCTTGTTTTGAGGTGCAAAATAAAATGATTTCAAGAATTTATTGAGAAACCCACGTCTTTGCTTTGACCTTGTCTGCATTACAAAAGTGACATTTTTCATGCACACACAGAAGCTGTTCGGCTGATGGAAAATTAATTTCTTCTGAGTTCTTGCAGAGATATACTAACTACTAAACAGGCACTACTGAGTTTTTCACACTTGAACTGGTTAACCCGAAGTCATTTTTGACTTCATCCTAGTCAGCAACTTATACTTTACCCTGGGTTAGTAATCAGTCTTGAGAGCCCAGTCTCATGAAAATGCGTATAAATAGTACGCCAAATAAAAACGTGAGTAGTCAGGTTTTGAGACTTCACCCTGCAAACCCTTGCAGGTTGTTATTTGCATATTACGAGGTTAACAACATTAATTTGACAAGTGCAGCATGCAACGTGTTTTAATAACTACTCGTCGATCACTCCAAGTTTGCAGTCACTGTTCAATTTTTTCTGTCAAACACTGAAAGGAAACGTAGAATGTGACAGTTTTGTTCATGAATATTTAAGATAAGCAGCATGGATTATCATTGGTTGTTTGTTGCTAAACCACTTACGGTGACATTTTAGGACCACATTGTTTCACGGTGTACATCTTTTGACACAGCAATCTATAATAATAACAATAATGCAAAGCTAAAAGTGACCCTAACCACATATATGTGAAACATTGCAAAAAGATAGTTGACCAAAAAAATGGAGACTTTCCTCATTTACTTGTATGACTTTGTTATTTGGACCCCAATGTTTTTCAAAATATCTACTTTTTGTTTCACAGAAGAAAGAAAGGACAGGAGGGTAAGTAAATGCACAAGTGTTCAATCTTATTTTTTATTTTATTTATTTATTGACTTATTTATTATTTATTTATTTTTGTATTTTGGTTTTTTGGTTTTTTTGAGCATTTATGATAATGCTGGAATAAAATTGCTAATTTAAAAGACTGTAAAAATCCTACGGTAAAAGCGTGTTAATAGATTTACAGTAGTTGGGCATTTCATTTTAAAATACCATCAAATGTACAGTTTTTGAGTGAAAAGAACAAGTCCTCTTACAATTTAGTTCAATTCACATTCCCATAATTCTCGGTCACAGTTTACATTTGATGGTTTTTCACTGAAATAACTATTTCTTCCTAGTTTTTGGTTTTCTTCCTTGTCTAACCACATTAGTGTTTTATGCCCTGCATCTTGTGTTGTTAAATTAATGTTTATTGCATGGACGACCTTGTCTCAGTGGTTCATCTGACTGTAATTACGTTCCAAAACACAGTCCTCAAAAAGCATTTTGACTGATACGTCAGAAATGTAGCTTCCCATGTTTATCAGTTTGAAACACTGAAGCGAAAACATCATGAGCAGCTGAAATACTTTGCTACAACGTTTCTCCTCAGAAAACAGCAAAAGCGCCACAATGCATGTCCACAGAGATCCATTGTGTCTCTGCAGAGAAGCCATGTAAGTAGTGATTGTGTTAGTCAGGCTGAGCATGCTTGGAGTGTGCCGTATTGATCTGCTGTAGATTAGCTCATAATAGCGCACCGCTTGCTTTGAAGACAAACAAGGGGACCTGCAGGGAATACAGGCAGCACACCTGAAGTCAGCCATGCCAACTCTCTGCTTTCACAACGCTAGTCTTCAAGCAGATTTTTAACGTTTTCCGTCCATCAGTGCCGTGTTTGTGCTAGATAAGGGGTGATCTCCTAGCTAAAATGCGCTCTGAAGTATGTGAGCTCATGTTGGTTTAGAGAAACCAGAGTTGTAACAGTCTATAAGCATCTCGGCGTGCACGCTGTCTTTATTCCGTGTGTAGTTTTTGTCAGCTTGAAAGATGTGCGTCTGATCACATCCCTGGGGGCTTTCCTCTCTGCCTCCCTGCTGCTGTCATCCTTTATGTTCTATCTCTGCTGTGTTAATGGATTTGAGGAGTCCGCTGCAGCAAAGGACTCTCTTTCAATCTTTCTTTTTCTCGTCTTCTGCCCTCTACAATTCAGAGTGCAGCCTTTAGTTTTATTTAGAAATAGAATGGACTTCTTTAGCTGGATGCTGATGGTGCTATGCAACTACTACGTCATTCTCTCTTTACGTAATGGTGTACAGAAAGACTTCGATATTATGTACTGCCAAGAACCTTTGGAGCCACCCAACAGACCTTTTGAACGCTTTTAAAACCCTATGGCAACTATTTCATCACACCACACTCTGGAATACTTGATCCTGATTGGTCAGTTGCAGTATTGAGCGAGTAGATGTATATTCGATGTATATCATTCAGTCCACTCCTACATACAAACACAACACCATCTCATGTCTCATTTATAGTGAAAATGACAAGGATAATATATTACTGTAATATTGTTGCTGTGATTGTCTAGAGGCAATTGTTTTGTTTTTTTTCTTGATGAGGAAAAATCTAAAACACTGTAAAAAAAATTTGTCATTTTAATAGTAAAAGACTAAAATCCTAAAAACCTTTTAATTGGTTAACAGTAAGTTCCCTTACTCTATACTGTGAAAAACGGTAAAATATCTAATGGGACTTTTTCAAGTTTACAGTAAAAAGTAAAATTGTGTTAACTGTGCAGGTTTTGGAAGTAAAAGAACAAATCATCTTATAATTTACAATGAAAAAATGTAAATTCACATTCTCTGTGTGACAGCTCACATTTGATGGGTTTTCTTAAAGGGGTCATATGATGCTGCTAAAAAGAACATTATTTTGTGTATTTGGTGTAATGAAATGTGTTTATGCGGTTTAAAGTTAAAAAAACACATTATTTTCCACATACTGTACATTATTGTTTCTCATATATTTTTTTCTTATTAATTATATACATTAGGGTTTTCTATATATTAATATTTACCTTATTTTGTGTGAAAACTACTTGGGATGAACATCATGTGGTTATTATTATATATTATATTATAAAAGCAAAAACTATTTTTGTAATTTGATATATTAACTTTATTTGCATTATTTGGTTATTAACATATATCTTTTTTACAGTAAATGTAATTTTAATTTGTAAAACTTAATGTTGCTACCATATTTTTTACAGTGAATTTCTGGCAGCCTCAACTACTGTTTTTTTTTTTACTATAAAATCAACTAACTTGTATTAAATTTATTTATTTAATTTGTTTACTTTTATGTTTTGCTTAAAGTTCATGTAGTCTACATTCAGTAGTTCAATAGTCAAAATGTCCTGAAACAGATTAATGTAGTGTCAGACATAATTAGCAGCACCAAATATAATAATAGCAAAAATAAACAGGTTTTCCAACCACTCCATTGTCTGGACAAATACTTTGTCCCGCCTCAAACTCGTGCCATATGTTGACCCGTCGGACCGCTCAAGCAGAACAATGTTTTGAAAGCTCCACAGAGAGACAGGAACTCAACTTACAAAAACTTATAGTCGTTTCTGCATTTTTCAACTGAAATGTTTTGAATATAAAAAAACGTGTGCATTTGAATGTGCAGTATGAATTACTGATCCATTAAGCATTATGTAATGTGAATGAATTCAAGTTTTGGTGAAGTGTAACCCAGTTCTACTTAGCATCTTGCTGAACTGGCCCAAGCACTAATGCAAACAGAGAGACAGATTGGTGTCAGGAACAATAGGCCTCTTAGCGTCCATACGAATAATAGCATTAGACCCCGTATAGAATCTGGGCGAGTCGAGTCCTCTCATCTTCTTTGGCTTTAAGAAGACATATGGACCATCAGCAGCTGCACCTGTCCTGTGAAGCACCATCTCTTTGAGTGATTAGTCTTTGCGCTGACTGGCGCTCAGATGTGCTGTCGCAGAGTTACAGGGAGGCAGACTTTGGAGAAAGAAAGAGACCGAACAGGCGGGGGTTCAGAGCAGCCCTGGAGCGTGAAGTCGTCCTGGTTGGTAATCAGGATAATTGCAGCGTTGCTAGTGCTCTAGTCTCCAATCTCTGAGTGTGGGCCTCTGTGGCCCTGTGTGCAGATTGGCCCCTCAGGCGCCGTGAACCGGGCCACTGCAATTCCCTTCTGCAAAGAGAGAGAGTGAGACAGCTCTACCTCCGGTCTGTCTTATTAGACATACTTATCAGATTAATTTAATGAGGATCATAAAACTGATAAAAATACACCGTTGTGACGTTATTCAAGTTGACATGAAATCAAAATGAGGCCCTATTTACACTCTTAAAGGAAAAGTTCACTCAAAAATGAAAATATACTCACCTTCAGGCCATCCAAGATGTAGGTGAGTTTGTTTCTACATCTGAACAGATTTGGAGAAAATTAGCATCACATCACTTGCTCACCAACGGAGTGAATGGGTGCCGTCAGAATGAGAGTCCGAACAGCTGATAAAAACATCACAATAATCCACAAGTAATGTACAGGACAGCGAAAATAAGAGTCCTCTATTCATAATATTGCTTTCTTCAGTGGAAAAAGTCCTCTTGTCTTGATAAGGAGAGGAATATGCTCAAATCAAGCACAGTTTATAAGCAAAAACAGTTCTAAACAAACCTGTTGGTGGATTTTGATGTGAGAGGACAACAGGGGATGGACTTCATTGGAGGAAGCATTATTACGGATTATGGACTTCGTCTTAACCAATAGCCAAATAGATATTTAGGCATCTTAGCATTTTAGGCTTCTGTTGTAGAAAATTTTTTTTTTTTTCCAAACATTTTGCCAGTAATCGACATTATCGACATAGTCATTTAATTAGCGTTTATATAATAACGATTATGGGAGTATTGCAGATAATAACGAACTGAAAGGCAACATGCGTAATGCAACGCTAAGTTCATGAGTTTGATTGCATGATCTGATAAAGACACTGTCAGTGGCTTTGGATAGAAGTGTCTGCCAAATGCATGAATGTACTGTAAATGCAAATGAAGCGCTACCACTGAGATGCTGTGGAGAGTGAACTTGACCTTTAACCTTCACATTTCATCTTCAAAAGTGGGTTCTGGTGTGGAACGCCCAATTGTCATGATCCAGTTAATT